TGAAACTCACTATAAAAGTAAAGCTGAGCCAAGGTGCAGATTCTGGTGAGAATTCAGTTTTTTTGTAACATTTTCTGCAATTGCTGCCTTTTTAAAAAAAAATATATTGGATCATTTTACCATTTCAAATGAGAAGGCAGTACATTTTGCTTGTTGTCTCGCGCACTTGCAACACAACAAGTGAGCTTAAAATAAAATAATGGTTAAAAACATTTCAACAACCCCTTTATTGTTTTTCGCATTACGCTCTTCTGAATCCATACTCCTTGGTAATTTTAAAGTTGTTGCAGGACATTAGTACCCAGCTAACGCCTCACTGATTTTTATGCTTATAATCAAATATCCAACATACAATTACATTGGGCCAGTTGTGCAAAGTCAGTTCTAGTTTGTAATTTAATTTGTAAATTGGGGGATATAGTGTCACCAGCTACCATTATCAAGGAAAACAATGTGGTGACTTTCATGCTTGACAGCACAACTGGCAGACATCTACATCTGCTAGAAGTTTCATTAAGTGCATGTGTGAGAAATGTCTGCGGGGGCATGAGATAGAGGAGGTTGGTTTGGAGGTGGTATGATGTGACTGACAGGGATGAGAAGATAATGACAGTTTTCATTTTGGGTAAACAGCTTTGTGCTTTTGTTGACTCAAATTATGAAACTGTGCTTAATGTACCACGAACACAGTTAAAATCTATATATATGAAGTAAATAACAAAGTGTGATAAATTAAAACTATGCATTTGTATCATTGAAGCCTCAAGAAACACCATTTCCAAACCAGATTCTAATGAAATTATTATTGTCACAATATTTACTTTATGCATAGCAGTGTAACATGTAACATCTGGTTCAACTACTGGATTTCATCTGATAAGGCTGACAAGAAATGCTGAGATCCACCGCCATGAAGCATTACAATAACACAAAGTCTACATAATTGTTATTACTATTAATATTATTATTCATGTCATTTATATTATTTTGTAAGTATTATTATTATGACTCTGGGGACCATGAATGTCTCCACACAGTTTCATGCAATCCAACAGACCAACCACCTTTGCCACCCCCTAGAGACATGGCTAAAAATATACTACTCTTTATTGGGATTGACCCATGCAGTCATTGAGACATATCAACATATCTAAGCTAAAAGCTTAAATAAGAGCTGCTTTCTCTTTTTGTCAGTGTCACAGAAAAGAAAAACATCTAAGCTTATAAATTATTTGGGTGCTGGCATGAAAGGAATTGGCTCTAACCCAGCTGTTTCTGCTGTTTCATATCATGCTACATACTGTACAGCATACTGCATGTGGGTTATGTAACTCAAATACAAAAGAGAACATTTGGAAAAGAGATAACTTCTTATTCAGGGAAAGCCTGAAAACAATAATAACAAGAAAGGTGAACCTGAGCTGGTCTCATTCAGGCAGGTCATCTACAGCTCTTGTGACCACTGCCTCCATTTGTGCCCTATCTGTAATTCACAGCGACAATCTCTCATGATTTAATGCGACTCACTTTGTTGCACATGTGCTGTCCAAACAAACATAAACACACCTGAAGCTCAGCTTTTAAGGCAGCAGCTAACACATCTAATGAGGACTGTGCAAGGTGACAACAGTGAAGGGGCCACTTGAGTCTGGGCTCCGTAGAGAGCGCATTTATGGACAAGTCTGCGTACAGTAAATGAACAGCATCGGATAAGCAGATGTGCGAGTTTTTCCCTCCACAGAAAAGTGCTGACAGTGAGCTCTGTAGCAGGGTTGAAATGAGCACAGTGTGTGCATTATGTCCCCGGCGTACTTTGTGCTGCACATACCGACGATCCTGGCCTGAATATTTATAGCATATTGTGAATGTTTGTGTGCATGTGTGTGAGACTGGGAAAGCCAGTGTGGATCTGAGAACCCTGCAGGGGTGTGAGGCAAGAAGCAGCAAGAGACAGACAATACCCACCGCCTTTGGATTAGTGTTATCAAGCTGGAAGCCAAGCACTGTGCTACATGCGCACTCTCCTGAAGTCAGTACCTGTAAGATTTTTATTTTTATTTATTTAACATTCTGTCTGTCAGGAAAATGCTCTGGTTTCCATTGATTGGACTGATGCTGCAGTCAGTTGGAATGAATCCAAATTACAACCAGAATAGTTCAATACAAAATTTGAAAGCTAAAGTTAGCTTTAGCAACATATACACATTAGCCACCTACAGGACTTACACGTCTAGCAGGGAGAAAGCCACATCTTCGTAAAATTTTAGTCTTTTGGATGTTTTTAATGCTCTCCATCTCTGACATGCCAAACCAATGTTAAACCTGGCTTTGCCTCGCACTCTTTCTGTGCTACAGAACACAGCCTCCTGGGTCTAACAGAACTGTTCCTATCCTGGGCTGTACCTCCACAGGGAGCCAAAAAATAAACACAGGGCCTGAAAATAGCCGAATGGGGTGGGGTTTAGTACAGCAGGGAGAAAAATAATAAGGATAATCACCTTTATTGGCCAAGTATGTTACACAAGGAATTTGTTTCCAGAACAGAAACAATGGCAGCCATCTGTGGCGCCACCTCAACCGAACACATGAACTGCAGGCACCGAGATTTAAACCTTCAACCTTCTGGTTGGGAGACGACTGCTCTACCCACCGCACCACTGTCGCCTCCCTGTAGTAAATCATACATTATTAAGAATCAAACAGTTTACTCTGTGTAAACATAGTGCTTTCTCTATTCCTAGCCAGAGACATCACTGCTGCACAGTTGTGCCTCCCTACTGAGGTGAATCATGCCAAGTATACGACAACAACACAATCAGAGAAGTGAATGCAAAGACAATGCTGTACCAGGAAAATGTTAGTTGTATTTAAAGCAACAATTTGTCACTGTTTTTCATTTTTCACTCATTAACACTGACGAGCACTACATTTTGACTTTGTGGAGGTGGGACCAGGGGTGGCCAACCAGATTCTGGGATGGGCTGGGGCCACCAGTGGCCACCCTCTGGATCTGCCCATGCTGTGAATCTAGGATACTGTATTTGTCCTCTTATCGCTACAAATACAAGATATCGGAGGGTAAATACAGGGCACACTACCTGTGTGTGTACTCACTAAAGTAACTCCTAAGACAAACAAAACAACTGTAAACAACCACAGGTTGAGACAAGATTAAGGGAATTAGATTTTTTTTTTTAAATGCACTCAGTATTTTTGTTGTAATTGCCTTGTGCCTGCTGCAGCTATGATTGCATACAGAATGTCCTCATCTCCTGGGAGACTATATGGAAATCCTCAAATTACTGAGGTGGAGAATTATACAACAGCTGTTCTGTTTAAAGAGGATGCTCGTCTCTTAACAGTCTGCATCTTAATAAGCACAAATAGCTACAACACAGAACAGCCATTCTGTGAAATGTTTCACCCTACAGGAGGGAGCCAGAATAACATAAACACTTCATGAAGAAGGAGTTTAAATTTGAGCTAAACCATCATTAAACACACAGCTACAGGAAGGTCATATTAGGCTGTATGCCAATTAGCAGCAACATTGCTATGTATGTCTGTCATGTTGTCTTGTTTGTTTCAGACTTGTGACAACCATTTCTCTTTGTCACTGCCATGCATCTGGCACAGTCTGCCATGATTTCAAAGACTATCTATTGAGAAACTGATTTCTTTCATTTGTATTTTTCTTGTCGGACCAGTACATGTGCAATCTGGGCACAAATGATGTGGCCTGCCCCAAGCTCTGTACTCTATAGGTACTGTATAGTAGTACTGTGTGCCATACTTCTCATCCCCGTCAACATAAGTATACACCTGAGTATAGCTCATTTTTGTAACAGTAAATGTAGCTGGTATAATGTTTACAGCTGCATGGTTTTTATCATTTCAGTGTAAACAGATGTTGTTTGTGGGTATTTACTGAAATACCCGGTGCTGTTGTTCTTCTTCTTGGGAAACCTGTAGGACATTGTTATGCTCTGCCTGACTGTAAAGGTACTTGTAATTCCAACTCTTTTGTCCCTTCTGCCTTCCACCCTCTCAGTTTTTCAGAAGTCATCTTATGGTAACACTTTATGTCCCCCAGTATTTAAATGTTTAATTAATGGCTGTGGCACTCTAACATAGTCGTAAGCAGATAGAAAGGTTCATTATGTATTTGTCAGCAGCTGTAACTCCTTCAGAGGAGGCTGTTCTGTTAACAGATAATGAATGACAGTTGTAATTTTATTTTTACAGGAGAAATTGTAGTTGTTGGCAAATACTATGAAATGTTTATATTGTGGTTATAGATGCTACATAGGGACACTTAAGTGTTACCCATTTTCTATGCTTGTGTAATTTGTGTATTTTTGGGGGGGTTGTTTAGATGTTTTCAGATACTCAGATTTCTTCTTAATATATTTATGACCAATGCAGTTTGTGTGTGTGTGTTTTTTAAGATTACTTTAGTGTTAGACAGTCACTTAGTCTAAACTGACTTACAGTAAGCGCATTTAGTTTGTACAGGAACAAGAGCTGGATGTAATCAAAAATTGTAAGCGCACCACTTCCAAACAAACAAAGAGTGTGTTTGGTGAGTGCTTTGATGAATCGGTGCCGTTATAAAAACACAACTTGAACAAGTTGATGGTGAATGAATGAGATAGAGTGAACAACCTCTGAGTTACCAAAGGGGAAACTGTATGTTAAGGAATAAATACTGACAAAGTATCGACTATGTAACTAAACATTTATGCCAGTAGTGTTGTAATGTGTATGTGCTTAACAAACCTCAGACCTATCCCCTCCCCGAGCGCTTCAGAACGAGTTGGTGCTTAATGACCCTGATGATTATCTGCAGTGGGATGATTCTTGGTCAGTCTCCGGGAGGGAAAGGAAAATATGCGCACTAACAATTTAGCGTTTGAGCAAATTGCTCCATCTTCAGGGGGCTATTTTCTCAAGAATGATAGTAGATTTGCATCAATTTCCTGTTTCTCTCTCTTTTGCAGTGCTGCCAGTTACAGGGAGAGGGAGCACCCCCCGCATCTCTCTAAACTGCAGAGAACAAGCAAAACATTATGACCGGTCATCTTGAGCATGAACGGACACCGAAAAGCAACAACAACTGGACAAGACTCGATACTCTGACACATGGAGATGAGAGCTGCTGTATGACATCAGTAATTAAACCCCCGAGGGTTGAGGCTGGAATTGGCAGATGAGTAAGTCATGGCCCAGAATGATTGCCTTAATTACTACACATATACAGATGTATGAAGCGATGAAACTAAGAGAGACTTAAGAGACTTATCCAAGTTCAAAGATGTTTTCTTCACATGTGAAAAAAGTGTCTTGTAAGGAACAGATGTGAATATTTTAATATGATAGAGACAATGTTTGGTTGTAATGTCGACAATGTTTTAGTTGGGTCGGCTTTCTAGGTGTCATTGGTTACTAAATGGTGAGTTTGCTTTCTGCTTATGCGCAGTCAGCAGTATGACATAATCTATTTTTATCTTCTTTCATAATGTCAACCAAACAAGGCTGGCCTGAGTTGCTCACTCAAATGCTGGCAACAAACTCTCAATTCACATCGTGTCATAACACATGAAAATCCTCATTCAGTAAGTGTGTAGGGAGAGAAATGTGAGACAAATATTGACTGGCTCAATGCAACATATTGAAATACATCAGAAGAATATCCTCTTACATTAAGATCCACTTACACTAAAGCAAAGATGTCAGACACATAAACACAATCATAAATATCTGCCACACTCACTTTCTATAGCAGAAAAACAGCAGATGAAACTCAACGGGCTTTTCACCGCCCGAGGATCATCAATGTAAAGACCTTAGGTTTTTTTCTCAGATGCAAATTTAAAGCTGACCAGCTGCTTTGGTGATATGTTTTCACTTTGAATTTAACTGTATGCAAAAGTAACATGGACGTGTGTTCTATATTTTTTTAAACCTAGCCTTGATAATTACATAACCAAAGGTGAAACCCTGAATATATTGTATGTTGTGGACTTCTGGAAATTGTTATGACATAGATGCACACCGAATAGGAAAAAAAATGTAAATAGCAGACGTTTATACCTGTGTGTCCTCAGATGTGTTGCAGATAGAGTAATTTAAGACTTTTTACTTTCTTTGACTGTTATGCCCATCAACCATAACCACCTGTTTGGTTTGTCCTCGCTCATGCCATCATATTCTTCATAATGTTGTGAATGCTGCTCCAACATGTTGCATCGTCATGTTTTTTATTTTTCCCACTGCCTGTTGAAAATCCACCTATTCTGATGTAATTTATTTGGTTTACTAAAACAAAAGGTCGCTGTATTTGTGCAGCTTTGTCAACCAGTATTTTGTTACCTCTGCAATTTTGCCCATTAGTGAAATGTCCACTATCATGGCAGTTTTATTTTAGTTGTTGGATGCAGTAACAAGTTATATCACACACTGTGTTAACTGTTATGGCTCTTAAAAGCTTGAATTTAGATATCTGGATCTTAGTGTCTTTCGCTCTACATCTAAACAAAATCCAAAGTTCACATCCTTGCGCTTTATCGAGAATTTGTGACTGTAATTACCTCAGTAATAGTATCCCTCAAACAAAGCTGTTCACTGAATGTTCCAGATATTTCCTTGGTGTCAGAAAAATAACACAAAATAGCCACAATAGTTTTAAAATAGATGTCAGTAATGAGGAGGATGCTTTTTATTGGCAAGACGTAGATACAAATTCAGATTGTCATTTCTGCATGTCAGCAGTTTTACCAGGACTATCAGTATTTTCCAATTAGGTTTAGGGATTTTAAAAGTTACACATATATAACAATAAGAAGGAAAAGGTGAAAGACACAGTCCAAAGGGAACTGATCATGACAGAAATCATTGAGAGTGGATTACAAATATCTAGTTGTTGCTGTCACTTAAATGTTAAAATTTCTTTAAAGATTTTGTTCTCTAAATATGAAATATTAGCCATATTAGTCAAAGTTGAGTAGCAAAGGGAAAGTAAAACAGTGATTCAACAGATTAGTCAAATTACCGTAATGACACTAAATGTAAAAATTGCACTGCTCCCACAGTGGCTGTTCTTAACCAAATTATTTGAGAATGAAAACACTTGATAATACAAGGATTTAGGTTTATTTGGTATATACTTTCTTAACGAAGGCTAGATGAGAAGATTGACACTACACTCTACGATAAATATAAGGCTCTTTCCTGCAGCTGGTTATCTCAGCTTAACATAAAGACATGTTTATGCTTATCACAGCAATATTTTAAGATGATCAACTCAAAAGTAGTGTCACTGCACCTGGCAACAAAATAGTCAGACACTTATGCTAAGCTAAGATAACTAGCTGCTGGCTCTAGCTACACACTATACAGACATGCATGTGTTATTAACTCTTCAAAACAAATAAGCACATGTCCTAAACTATTACCTAAAGATATAAATGAAATTCTAACCAGTTTGCTGACAATGTTAGATCATGTGCCTAAAGCACAGGTTGTTACAACTCTGAGGGGCAGGGAGGCAGAGACTTCAGAAGATTTCAGGCCAAATGTTGGATCACAAAAAGATATAGCTAGCCCAGATGCAGAACTATCATAAAAACAACAGCCAGAAGATTTACTGCAACAACACTGATCAATTTGTATGAGACAAATTAATCTATCTAGTGATATGTTCAGCTACAAAGCAGTACAAAAGATGCTGAACCAAAGAAGAAGAAATATGCCCACAAGGGAGTACAGAGAACAAGAACAGGATCAGATGGACAATAGATCCTCAAGGCCACCACATCCAATCAAGCAGAACAAACAAGCACAAAAAAGGAAAACTACTCAGTCTCTAACCCATTTTCTCATTCTATGAATTAAAATAATTCATCGGGTTAGAGGCTGCAATTATGTTCGTTTGCACTGTTGCACTGCCCTGACTTAAATCTGCTTTGATCCGGAGATCAGTAGTAACACAGAGAAGGACGATGCACTACATGATATACAGTATGAAGCACAAGGCAGATTGAACATTACATGGAAAAAAGAACTGATTCTAAAAATGTCTGAGCTGAATGACACTGAATAAAATACTCCTATTTTATTATCCAGTGGATGTTTAATCGAGATTCTTGGTCATCCATTCAGATCACGAGTGGAAAAATATCCTGAAGATCACATTTTTAGTACTGCTAGATTTTCCTGTGGATGTTAAAATTGCCTGAAGTAATAATCTTTGTAATAATTGTTATGATTCAGCACAGCCAGTGAGTAGACTTTAAAAAGCTGTCAGGGAGGTTAACAGTTAGTCTGTGTGGGGACATTAGATAACACACATAACAAGGTGAGAAGAGAAATTTTTAATTATGATCACCTCTGAGCTGGAAAACTCACTTAACATGTTTCTCACTGTCATAGCTGCTGGCCAGAGGAGGAGGAGAAAGAGGATTCAAAAAAAAAAAAAAAAAAGCAAGACAAATTTAATTAAAAAAATAATTTCACTCACAAGAAAATCCTGGCCAGGGATTGATTACACATTAGGAAGGGCTATTTCAGTGTCTGCATTGTGAGAAAGTGCTTTTCTGTTGAAGCCCACATATTTCTGAGGCCTAAACAAGTCAGAGACTCCTCCAATCCTTAGGGCTTTCCACAGAGCAACTAGGTGGGATTAGCTCTAAGATGAATGCCTCACCTAATCAATAGAAAAAGGATTTCCTCTAACAAAAAAACAAAAAAAACAATTGAACACAAATCTTAAGCTGTGCAACAAACAAACAAACAAACAAAAAACAGGTCAGTGTGGATGTGACCCAGTTTTTAATTTCCATATATTAAATAGGTGTTGGGAAGGAGCCTTGATGTGTTTGTCTGTCCTGTGGACTTTTTTTGTACAATCCCAAATCAGAAAAAGTTGGGATGGTTGGTAAAGTCAAAAATAAAACAGAAAAAGTGATTTGTAAATCATCAGTATCCAGTATTACATTGAAATCAATGCAGCAGCACATTATTTGATGTGATGTGATTAAATGTGTCAAGTGTAATTTTGTCCCATTCTTTCTGCAAAACAAGTCTTAAGGTGCACAACAGTCCTGGGTCTTCGATGATGGAATTTGCATTTCAAACTGTGCCACACATTCTCTACTAGCGACAGGTCGGGACTGCAGACAGGCCAGTCCACTCACACCCTTTTCCTCCACATTCATTCCTTGGTAATGTGCAGTATGAGGTTTTGCATTGTCTTGTTGAAATATGCATGAGCGTCCCTGGAAAAGATGTTGTCTTGAAGGCAGCATATGTTGATCCAAAGTCTCTGTGTTTTTCAGCGTTAATGGCGCCATCACAGAGGTGTAAGTTACCTTTGCCAAGGCCACTGACACAACCCCAGACCACTGATGCCACTTTTGTACCAAATCAGTTGCCTGTTGACATCACCAGTTTCAAATGGGATCATCATTTCATTGTTTTTCCTCATTACTGGCCCTGAAATGCAATCGTCCCGACTTTTTTTGCAATGTGTTGCAAGCATCAGTATTGAAATGAGTGTTTGTTGTGAACAAAGAATAAAACTGATGTGATGTCACATCAAATAATGTGCTGCTGTATAGTTTCCAATGTAATACAGTACTCAAAGTAGCCCAAATCTTAGTCAAATAAATACTTTAAATTCAAATAAATAGCAGCCAAATATGTTGATACAAAAACTACTATTTACATGTCTGTATTTATTGTATTAAATCTGGCTTAAAAATCTTACTTGTACATGATTTTTTCTCCAAGAGCTTAAGGACATTTAGAAAGGACCTGGACAACCTGATAGGCACAGTAACCTAACCTTGCTCCCGGGCAGCACCACAGTCATGCCCATACAGCTCGGTTTGATATTACGTACGCAAACATAAATATAAGTGATGCATTAGTTTAAGGTTAAAAACTAGTATTGGACTCTAACATGCACCGTGTTAGATAACACCAGGGATTTGTTTTGTGTCTTAATCTCTTTATAGTCAAGGTGGCCCATGAGGTGCACCGCAAAACTGTTGATGCAGTGTGTTTAGTGTTTGTGCTGGTTATTATGTGACTGACTGGATTTTGGGTTGTTTTGCACCATCGGTATCCTGCAAAACAGGATTAATGCCCTTTGATGCAAATACAATGATTACACGGTTGTCCAGCCACGTCGATATTTAAGAAACTGTCTCACATAAGAGATACTCTAAGTCAAGTCAAGTCAAGTCAAGAGCCAGAAAGAACACTTAGTCTTAAAATAAAAAAGTTATATAAAGGCAACAAAGTATTAAAAACTGCAATACACAAAAATAGGGTAATAGTATTATTAATAGTGAACTTCAAACATCACACTGAGTAACTCACATGGTGGAGTTGGATATGTCATTACGCTTGGTGAGGTAGTGAAGGGTCTTAACATACTAAAACATAGCTTATATTCAGTCGACTTCTGAGCAGAATCCACACGTTTGTTGAAAGGCCTTTGCATACGCAGCTATATCACTCAATTCACTGGGTTAATAACAGTGTTAGCACACATCACTGGAGCTGAGAAATACTCAGTGGTCAGTACTTAAAGCTGTTGCCTTGGTTCTAATTAGTAGACGACACAATCTTTCTGAGATTAATAGACGTCATTAGCTTAAACATCACCTAAATGTGACTCTGTTATATTGAAACACCTTTCATTTTCAGGCTCATATTGGAGTGAGAAAGACTTTGTTTTGCTAAATCAAGAAAGTGAATTATATGCTTATGTGCTAATTGCTAGAAGGAAATAAACATTTCCACCCGTTTAATGACAACCACAGATGTTGCTGACATAATAAAGCGTCGGGTGTGGTTTAAACACAAAAATTTGAACAGACTTGTGATTAGAGCAACCCACGTTCATCAAGCTACTGGACATTCAAATATGAGCGCCAGAGAAATCTGTCTTTGGGTAGCGATTAGAACTTTGTCAGTTAGCCAAATTGACAGAAATTAATTGGCAACTGTTATGAAAACTGTTTTAATCATGTTCACAATTCCAGTTTGTCAAATGTGAGGAGCTGATGCTTTAATTTGCCATGTATAACAATGAATATTTTTAAGTATTGGACTGTCAAATAAAGCAAACAATAATCACCTCTATTGACAAAAGGATCGATTGACAAAATATTTCGCAGCTTAATCATTATTGCTAATTATCACTTGTTGCAGCCCTAGTGGAAAACTAAAGCAGGTTTAGAATACAACATAATCTCTGCTCTGTGATAAATACTTTGTACTCTCAGACATGACAGAGTTATGTTTCATTACTGTTGGTAATATAAGGTTCAGTGATCGATGCCCTCGGAGTTCAGCTCACTGCAGCATATCAAAACGTAAACAGACAAAACACAATCAAATGACGAAAACATTTTTTCTAATTTAGAAAAAATGGTCCAAAGAAATAAAGATTGGCCACATGAATTAACAGTACAGACAACGTAACACAATACTGAAAATTGCTGGTTGTGTTTTCTGATGGTACATGTTGGATTTGTTGTGTTTTGTGTATTTGCGTGTCCTTTCAGAGCTGCTGCTTGCATCAAAACTATGATTTAACAGGCTGCTAACAGTCCTAAAGCTGCACCTGCATATGTAGATTATTAGACACTGTGTACTTTAACCTGTGTAGACACCAGTTATTATGGTGACACTTGGAAATGACAGCAGAAGTTGTGCCATGTTACATTCAGCAGACTGCATTTGGGATACGGCATACTTCCCCCTCAACAAGATTTACAGGCCAAGAATCATTAAGCATGTGTAATTCTGACTGTCACAAAATGAGGCTTTTTTTCAAAAACTCTGATTCATCACATCATAATATTTGCATTTACAGTAGGTCATAAAAAGATGTGGGGCTTTATTTGTTGTGTTTTGTAGTTTCTGAAGCTTAATGAAGGGTACTGTGTGTAAAATAAAGAACGAAGTACACAAAGACAACACATACAAATTAAGAGTATATATTATATACAAATTTTAAAGGACAAGAATGGAATTCAAACGCATAATAATCAGGTGTCTATGCAAGCTGGTACAGTTTGGTCAAACAAGGCCACAGTCACATGCATTCAGTGGTTATAATGCAGTATGTTTACATTAATCATTCTCACAATCATCTCACCTGCAGAGAGGTAACGTGTCAACATGCAGCCAAGCACAGATGCTGCTGCACCGCACAGTCGCAGTGTGGGGAGGTGTGCATTTGTTTTAAGTTAGTGCTTCACATATGTGTATGCTTAATACTCCAACTGTTCATTTGCCACTATCTTGTCACTCATAACAAATGAGGAAAAACCATTATCAATCAGCAAAGGAAGACAGAGAGTTACTATTAATGAACATGTAAAATATTTCTACAGTTCAGGTGTTAAGAAATATCCATGTGAGTTTTGGCCAGCCTTGCTTTTACTCTGCATGATGCTTTGTTTTGAGAAATATGCATCCTAATCCAAGGTATGTTTGTATTCTTTTCCTGAGGGTGCACCTCTCCTTCTCTTTCACTCTCTCTCTGTATCTTTGGAGCTTGTCAATTCGGACCTTAACTCTCCTTTTTGCTTTCTTTTGTTTTAGTTTTTGGTAAACCTTCCAACTTCTAGATTTTCTACATTCATAACATTTTGTAGACAGAAATATGAGATGTGATTGAAAATGGAATATGTGCAATGTTGATTAAAGAAAAAACATAATATATTCAATAAAAATTCAGAAAACCAACATCTTAAAATGAATTTTTATTGTCAGAAGGGAGCTGCTGTAGCTTGTGTTGTTTTACATAAATCTAATTTTTGAAGAGCACTACAGCAGCATCTCACTTAAAAAATCTGCACACTGACACTAATGTCTAATATCTTACCTGCAAGACTCATGCTTTAATCCCTTTTTCACGATTTGTGATGTAAAAACTAAAGGCTTCTACAGAACATCTCTCCTGATTGACTGCTGACCGAGCTGAGTCAGTCACATTAGATGGCCGTAAAGAACATCTGGTTCTAAACTAGTTTGCTATCATTCAGCAACAGTGCAGAGGGAATCAGAACAGCAAAGAAACACAAAGCCATGCTTGTAGCTGGGTTATTTTGTTGCTGCCTGCACTCAGGGACACACAAAAAAGTACTGTGTCGAATCAGCGCTCAGGAGGCAGCCCTACTGCTCACTCACTGTCGATTTAAATGTGTTCAATTTAAGCTAGAGAGCACAACATATAAATTAGCTGCTGTAAATTAGTATATTCACAGGGGTGTCACTGCCTCTCAAATAAAAGATCCAACACTGTTTTAACTGTTAGGCCGGCGTGGTATCAGTAGCCTTATTAGTAGACAAACTGAGTTTTTATAAAATAGGGAGATGGAAATTCTGCATGAATTTCCTGTATTCTACTCGCACACACAGTTTTCTTGTTTCTTGCAGCTCTCACATTTACACAGCTGTAATCATGCTGTGATTATAAAGAGACCAAGGCAGGTTATTCTCTTCTTTCTCTTTCTCAGTTACAAATCGCACCATCATTTTGCTCAGCTGCTACTTCAGCACCACAGCAAAAGCAACAAGGTTACAAGAACATCATTTCCAGAAATGTACAGTATTGTGCAAACATTTTAGGCCATAAAAGTAAAGGGAGGATGATTTCAAAAATAATGCTACCACCACTGAAGGCATTTTTTATGACCCTGGCTATTTGTGCCTGTTGTCATGCTGCAAAATGACTTTACAACCGACAAATCCCCGATGGTGGTGATAGATAAAATCTAAAAGGCTAACGTGCCTAGAATGTTGATTTCATGCTATTCAGCATTCGGTGTTGGCATACAGAGAAACTAATTTGCTGAAGCCAATCATACTATATCTCCCATTCTGGCTGTAAGTGTTTTGTTTGCCGGTGGTTGAACTGTCGAGACCCGTTTATGTACATCGCTTATGTCTCTTACTCAGAATGAGCTGGGTCAGCATGGGCAGGGGATCAGTGACAGGACAGTTTCATCTACAGGGGCCTTTTACAGTGGTTTCATTCGAAACTCAATACCCGAGATGCTCATGTTCAACGCTGTTTAAATATTAAATGGGTCCGCTGTGGTGCAATTACTTGACTCTTGGACACCAGTTCATCTATCAGACCGGTGATGAACACACTGCAACCAGGTTTGTGCTCCGCCTCCTCACAGCAAAACCCACAAAGTTCTGCAATGATGAAACCTATTCACCTTCAACAAACCTCCACAGACTGAGGAGGAGCAACAAATGCTGAACCACTTTTATTACTTGCTCTGCAAATCAAGAAACTAAAGGAGTTTGTCCTAGTGTTGCTCACTGTCATGCATAAGGTCAAAATATGACTCTGGGATTAGGTCACAGTGAGGTAGATTAGACCAGTATTGAAGATATATATAGCAGGTCACCCTTTACAACTGTCTCCACAAAGCAAGACAAGGCACACAAGATCTACACAGTCACATGCACAAAGCAACAACAAACACTAACAGATGATTACCACACTCCCAGATCAACTCATTCAGACGACTGCTTTGTCATTGTGGGTGAATCTGAAGAAGCACTGATGCAGAACATGTCAGCGTATACCTAGATCCAAACAATGTCCTCTATAGGGTTTTAAAAATTATACTAGTCCTTCTCTCCTCTAAATTCCTCAAGAATAATATTTTCAACAATCCCCATACAGAGACTAAAACCAACAGCGAATTGCCTCTACTCACGGTTAACGTCTGTCAGTCTCCACCAGGATTAGCTTATTCATTTGTGCCCTAAACGTCTGTTGTTGTTCGCAAATGATTAAAAGTGCATCCGTGCAGCACACCACTGCACTGGGCGACACATTTCTTCATTACACAGCACTGGACCTGCATCATTTGTGATGTTTGCGATTTAAAAGGCATCTGGTATTATTACGATTTTCACTACACAGTTTCCACACTTGCATTATTTAACAATAATTATTAAGAGCAAATGAGGTTAGACTATGAATTTGTCATGTACACAAGTGGTATATTATGTTTCACAGTGCATCAACCATCAATCTAAACAGTGACAAAAGGTGCTAGTTCACCGTTAGCTGACCCTCAAAATTGCACCTAATTAAAAGGTCAGAGTTTGCAAAGCAAGGTAATGAAATTAATAAAAATATAATACTGCAGTAAAAAAAAAATCTGTGTATTTTGTGTGGAATGACAGTGTAATACTCTTAGTTTAATTATATATGGAACATAGAAACAGAAGAAAACAGGTCAGAGTGCTGCCACAGCACTGTCTTCTTAGCTCCACACTTGTCATGGCTTCTGTCAGAGCCTGCTACTGCGTTCTAGGAAAAGACCCCATCATTCAGTGGTGTAAGACGACACCTGACAGGCAACAATATCTCAGCACATGGTCAGAGGCTGCTCTCATACATTCATGCCAGTGAATTTGACGTTCACTGTTTCCTCATGGAAACCTGATGCTGCTGTTCTTCGGGCCCATGAAACCCAATCAGCTTAGTCCCAAAAGGTACCCGCCTGCTGCTTTACAAACAATGCTCCTGTCGCAGGGCTGTGGATGGAAACGTTGTCAGCAACAATTGTGCTTCCTGCTATAGACAAACTGTTCTTTTACATTCAGAAAACGTCAGTAGGCCTTTGGCCAGACAAATACAGCATGACTCAGGCCAGTGACCTCCCCAGGGGACCATTTACCAGCTTCTGCACTTAGATCCAGTGGCGCTGACCTTGGGCTTACTCCTCTGGCATGCTCCTTTTGCTCTTAATTTATTAAATTTGATGGTCAGTGACACTGCATAGATGTGTTGTCACGGATAGATTAGGCATTTTACAATATTGCTCTTATATAGAGACGCAAACTGGTAGACCTATACAGATCAATGTAAAAGTGTCTTGCCGTAATGACACTAAATGCCCAAGGACACTTTGACATGTGGCCTGCAGGCACCGAGATTCAAACCGGTTAGGAGACGGCCACTCTACCCACAGTCACCCCCAAGTTCAATTCTTAGAAACAGTGAGAGGAACTGCGAGCTGGGGAAGGACAGAAGAATCAGCAGTACAATCCTAAATCAGCCAGCTCACATCAAACCATCAGACATATCTCTCAGCCCAACAGCTGCTTTGAAGTGGGGAGGCTTAGGCAGCTTGTAAGTTTCATTTGCAGACCAAATGAGAAGAAATCAAAGTTTGGGTTGTCAGAAACACTGTTATTAATCTGATAAGACCATCCTAAGGGTGAATTCAATCCAAATGTGTTTCGCTTCTCGCAGCTTACATACAGTACAAACAAACAGGAAATTGATCCTGTCCGATGCCTTTATGCTTTATTAAGAACTGTTTAACCCTCATGTGCATAGTATTTGAATGTTTATGCTTTTGTTTGTTTCCCCCATAACAGGGGCTTTTGGGGTTCAAATATTTTTAAGACCTTTGTCAAAATGTCAAATCTCAGAACTGCACTCCACTCAGAACAGAGCCTCTGACAGCTCTTCATCTGTCTCTGACACTCCAAGGTGTGAGAATAGAAGGAGGTTAAAGGTCCAAAGCTCCAAAACAGGCCCAGATCTCATTTGGCATCTGTACTCAGCAGGTATGAGTTCTCTGTGTCATCAACGCCGTCTCCAAGGTAAGGTGGATAAAAGTCTATTTGCCGTTAAGAGCCTAATACAGTGGAAGATACCAAACAGATGTCTTTTTTCCACCTCACCTCTTCAGTGCAGGTCAGATGGAGTGTTTCCTTACACAACTTCCTCAGACCATGATGCACAATAACGCCTGGGTCACCGCTGAGCGCCTCACCACTTTAACGTGTTTGTAAATAGCAGCTCAATTCATTCTGTTTCAGTCAGTGCTACTCAGTCGCTGCCATGGTAGCTCGCTTGAAAAAAAGACTAGAAACAATGCAGTGATCTTGCTGACACCTCAATTAGTCACGTGATCAGTCTTCAGTCACTGGTCTGCAGGAGACCAGCCACAGTATATTCCCCACATCTGCCTAAGATGCTGGGAGCAGAGAAGTGAGTAGTAACTTCGAAGCAGAGGAGAGAGGAGCAGAGGATGGTTTCAGTGTTGAATAGCACTTGGGTGAAGTGAAGGAAGGGACATTTCTTTTTGTTGTCATGGTAACAGGCACTGTGGTCCATAGCAAAAACATATCCTTAGCATAGATGCTTGATCAGGATCCAGGATCCTCACAGCACAGCTTCCCTCCACAGCTTTGAACGTGGGAACACTGATTATGTTGCAAATTTTTAATGAACCATGATGCGCCGAATCACATGAAATGTACAGATCAGCCAAGCTGAAAAGAAAGAGAGAGAGTATTCATTTGTAAAACCTGACTACAGTACTATCAGGGAGGTGAGTCACTGAATTATTGAATGTGTTTCATTTCATGTTGTGTGGTATTTTAATGCAACCATGTGTAAAGGTGAGAGGGAAAAAATGTCAACAGTAACATTTACTGTAAAAGTGATACTGAATCATGTAAGAGGCAGATTTTCAATAATACAGCAATGTAACCTAAAAGATACAATAATAAAAAAAACTCACATGCGCTCTCTCCTCATGTACTTTAAACAATGACCGTGAAGTGTAGGATCTGGGCACTTCTGCAGAGTCAACATGTAGGTTAATGTCTGCAGGGCTGGTTGACTGATATTCCTACAGGACAAATAGCAGCAGGATCAAAACCTTCATTCTGTTTATTCATGCTTGCTGCCATGTAACACTCTGAGGATAATATGGAGGGACTAAAGTAAGCAAACACTGGAGGAATTTACATTGTATACATTGTGTTAAAATTCGACCACTAGAAAATATCTAAAATACACCAACGAGCATGTTAGTGATTACTACACTGAGGCAGTTTGTAAATGTGAAGGCATACTCTTTTAAAGTTATTTTGACTACACTTTTATTTTCTATATCAGTCACCTTGTGAAGTTAATGAAGATGCCAATCAATGGTCTTAAAGTTGGAAAGACAACTTGCACTATTAGGTACTTTGTCCTTGTTCTGGAAAGTTGGTGGAAATTGATCTTTACTAGGTATACACTGATCAGCCATAACATTATGACCACTGACAGGTGAAGAGAATAACATTGATTATTTCGTTACAGTGGCATCTGTTCGTGTGGGGGGGTATAGTATGCAACAAGTGAACTTTCAGTCCTCAAAGTTTGTGTTGGAAGCAGAAAAAACAGAGAAGCATCAGGATCTGAGTGACTTTGACAAGGGTCAAACTGTGATGTCTGACGACTGGGTCAGAGCATCTAACAGACTGCAGGTCTTGGTGGGTGTTGTTGGTCTGCAGTGGTTAGTACCTACCAACAGTGTCTAAGGAAGGACAGGCAGTGAACACAACAGGGTTATGGACACCCAGGGCTCACTGATGATGTTAATCTGCTGTATATTACATTTTTAATTCTATTTGTACTAAGATTAAAATTAGTTTGAATCTTTGTTAAAATGGTTGAAAATGAGAAATACTGGACATTGGTCTCTATAAAGAGAAAGAATCAGGGGTTGTAGTGCTGATGTCACATTTAGAGGGGAGGCTGTTGTCTAAACAATCATCTCTAACTTGTCCTCACAACTACAGCTTTCACTAAGTTTTTCACTGAATGATATTTGAGCTCTTCCTGACAGTCGAATTATGGAAGCAAACAGATTCACAGAAGATGCACAGTGAACTACAGAGTGACACGAGTGCCAACCAACAGCCACACTGGCTCCTGTGTACACGGTGCTAGGCAGGTTGTCATAATGTTATGGCTGATCATTGTACATTACCAAGTGTAACACTTTATTTTTCAGTAATGCTTTAAACAAAGCTATCCTATGCTTTAATGATTATGACTTCAAACACATCTTTTGCTGCAAGGTTTGCCATGGCAGGATAGATATTTTATTTTATCTTTGTTGAATTAAAAATATCTATTTTTTCAATTTAAATGAAACAAATAGTAAATTATACTGTAGTAAGGGCAACACACTGGATCCATAGCTTTACATCACAGTACAACAGTCTGTCTTTATGTCTGAGCCCTGAGACATGGTTTACCAAGCCTCTTCTCAATATCAGTGACAAACCTCCTAAGCAGCAAAGTCTCAAAGTCTAGAGCAGGAACTGGAAAATAACCTGATAACTGACAGAATTTGGATTAAGTTTAGATTAGGGTGGGGATTAAATCGTGGCATTAGGAAGAGAAAGGGGTTTAGGTTCTAAGGAGTGAAGTTGTTAGTGCAGATTGTCAAGTGTAGTAAGACAAATGTGCATATTTGTGTAGACTACAGTATGTGTTTGTTTTATGGAGAAAGAAGAGACAGCATATCAAACAACATGAGAGCTGCCTTGTTTAAGATCTTGTGTCAGAACTCACACCTTTTAAATCTGACAATTTCCATACTTCACTGCGAATGAAGCGAACCCGGAGAAAGATTCCTGCACTTTTTTCCTTCAAAGTACACAAGAGAAAAACACACCCGGAGTCTTCTCTGCCTCATTCACACACACAAGAAAGTGACTGAAGACTGCAGATGTACAGTAGTATGTTCCTGCCATTCACTCTTGACGGTACACAGTAATCCCCTGTACAACCACAGCTGCAGTCTGCTTTGATCGTCTGTGCACATTTGAGCAAAAAGCCACACGTCTCTCTTTCCTTCAAGAAAACAACTAAACTTAGCATGACCTTTTTAAAATCTTGTTTTTTAGGCAGAAAAAAAAATCTAATGGTTGGCAGGGAAACAAAAGCCTTCCTCCCTTTGTGAATATCACACAGTTTGCGCCTGGGAGCTCAGGCTTTGCATAAAATGAGCATTAATAAATTTAGCAGCTCTTACATAACTCACACTCAGTTTGAATCTTTCTGATGAGGCAGAAAAATACATTTATTTCATTTCAACTTTCCCCTGTTGATGAATTCTTTTTTTTATAGTAAAGCCACAAACATGCAGCACTTGCCAAGGAGCGGGCACAGGGAGTCACTAAGCCAGTGACTGCCTCGCTGTGAAGGAAATGTTACTGAAATGCTGGTCAGACGTTCCATCCCCTTCCTCAACATGCAGCCTCCACATCCACAAACCCCAGAGAAGAGTCAGTCCATTTTGGTGTTGCCTGCATTAACCCTTCGCTGTGGCTTTCTGGCAGGGATTTCTGGGGGAAAGCAATGAAGTGCACATTGTTAATATTCAACAAAAAACTGTATCCAAAGAATAGTTTTGTTAAAAATAGCTCTAAGAGTAGAAAGAATAAACCCTGTCAATTGTGCAGGACGTGTTCTCTTCACTGCATCTAGAAGCAAGAAACACTCAGACGCATTGAGGCATGATGGCAAGAGTGTGATAGCTGAGGAGAAGCCACTCCCCTTCACTTTGGATGGACAATCCTGTATCACTTTGAATAGCACTGTGGACAGTCACTGACCAACATACTGTATTAATTCAATCGAGATACGAAGCATTTCGGTCACACACACACTCCTGACTTGGCTTCTGTGTTCGGTGGAAAGGGCAGATGGGTAAATAAACCGCAGCGGCCAAGTGAATGTCAATTCTTCTCATCACCAGGAAGTAATTACCTCTCTCTAGACTGTTGCTTAGCTGCTTGTCTGCTCCACAGAAACACTCAGAGCCACGAAGGGAGACCATACTGAGGGGCTGCACGCAATCTCTTCCAATTCTCCTCCGGCAAAATGACCAGCCAGCCATGCCAAATGTGGATCAGGAGCAAGAGAGAGAGATGAGCATAACACAGGCAAAAGGAATTCTGGGTAATACAATGCCAGTGATCAGCATTTAGATACTCCTCTGTCCATTTTGTTCAGCATGAGCAGACACTGTGCCGGTTGTAAGCCCACTGAGCATTATGTGGAAAAGACCCGTTTCTCCACTGCAATTTCTGATGACATAACAAACACCAACAGAGCAGAGCAACAGCAGAGTGAAGCAACAAAAACCTGTTATTCTTGCTGCAAAGAAAACCTTGTCAGGGTTTAAGTGTCTCTGTATTTTTGTCCTCCCCAGCTTCATACATGAGATGATCAGGATATTAGATAAAAACTGTATCCAAAGAATAGTTTTGTTAAAAATAGCTCTAAGAGTAGAAAGAATAAACCCTGTCAATTGTGCAGGACGTGTTCTCTTCACTGCATCTAGAAGCAAGAAACACTCAGACGCATTGAGGCATGATGGCAAGAGTGTGATAGCTGAGGAGAAGCCACTCCCCTTCACTTTGGATGGACAATCCTGTATCACTTTGAATAGCACTGTGGACAGTCACTGACCAACATACTGTATTAATTCAATCGAGATACGAAGCATTTCGGTCACACACACACTCCTGACTTGGCTTCTGTGTTCGGTGGAAAGGGCAGATGGGTAAATAAACCGCAGCGGCCAAGTGAATGTCAATTCTTCTCATCACCAGGAAGTAATTACCTCTCTCTAGACTGTTGCTTAGCTGCTTGTCTGCTCCACAGAAACACTCAGAGCCACGAAGGGAGACCATACTGAGGGGCTGCACGCAATCTCTTCCAATTCTCCTCCGGCAAAATGACCAGCCAGCCATGCCAAATGTGGATCAGGAGCAAGAGAGAGAGATGAGCATAACACAGGCAAAAGGAATTCTGGGTAATACAATGCCAGTGATCAGCATTTAGATACTCCTCTGTCCATTTTGTTCAGCATGAGCAGACACTGTGCCGGTTGTAAGCCCACTGAGCATTATGTGGAAAAGACCCGTTTCTCCACTGCAATTTCTGATGACATAACAAACACCAACAGAGCAGAGCAACAGCAGAGTGAAGCAACAAAAACCTGTTATTCTTGCTGCAAAGAAAACCTTGTCAGGGTTTAAGTGTCTCTGTATTTTTGTCCTCCCCAGCTTCATACATGAGATGATCAGGATATTAGATATACCTCTGAATATGATGTAGTCCAGTACAACACCACCTTTAACTATGAGCTCAATAATAAACATATAATTTAATTGATACATTTATGACAATTTCACCAAAAACTGAAACATTTGAGCCTCATAAACACAGATGTTAAGGCAGAAGTGTTGCATTGAACTGCATACAATTAAACAGGTGTGCCTAATAATGTGGCCAGTGAATGTATAGTTAAGAGGTGGGCATTAGCTAGGTTTCCATCACATTTTAACCTAAAATAGACAAAAAATGCAAAGAAAACCAAATTAATTCATATTTGAATTAACTATCATTAGAAAACTATTTCTCCTCCTTACATTTCTTCACAAGGTGTAAAGTTGGGGTAGTTGACAACGGTTCTCTTACGGAGCGCCTGCATTAACATTACCAGAGTTCCCATATTAGGATTTTAGAGATTATAATTTAATAATGGCATTGTGCAATACTGTGACATATTCACAAAAATAAAGTCTGATTACATTAATATTCATTCATTTCCAAGCCCTAAAATTGGGATGCTGTTTATTACAAGATGGACAAACAAAATAATTTCAGATGGAAATAAAGGAATTAGTGTTTATTTTAATGGATTACACAAATATGCACACAATGGAGTTACTGAAAAGGTGGCATGTCTCTTTCGTTTTCACCCACAAAAATCTAACGTCAGCTGAACTGATCAGAAGAAAAAACAATGAAGGCAGCAGGTGCACCTAGAGTTACAGG